AGACATAGATGGACTTCCAAAAGTAAGTGAGTTGCAGAGCGGGTGTGTGGGCCCCCCTTTTCTTGGCACTGGGGTGCCGGTGTGACCCCAATGGATGGGGACACGTCAGGGGGACATGACCGGGGCAGGCGGGGCTGTGTCCTGCCCCCACGGTGTTTCGGGGGGCGCAGGGACCTGCTCACTGCCTCTCCCCCATCTCCTGCAGAAATCTCCAAACAACATAAGTGGCATTAGCAATCCCCCGGGCACTCCAAGAGACGACGGGGAGCTGGGAGGCAACTTTCTCCATTCCTTCCAAAATGACAATGTGAGTGAGTGCCTCCCTGGGGACGGGGGGATGGTCCCCAGGGCATCCCAGCACGGCGGCGGGTGGGCTTGGCGGTGGGTGCCTTTTGGAGCTGGGTTGTGCCATGTGTGAGCTGCTCCGGGACAGAAAGCAGGGAAGAAGAAATATGCTGGTGGGTGCAAGCTTGGGTCCTCGGCGAGGCGTACTGAGGGAGGGGAGAGGATCCTGCTGGATGGAGAGGAGCGGGCACGGATGCAGCCAGCTGTGCTGGCCTCGCCGATTCAAGGCTCTGTGCGTGGCTGCAGACATTCCTCCTCGTCCTCTACTAGCAGCATATACACGCATGCATGTTAATTATTTTTTTTAAATTGCATCTCACCCCATACTGTTCTGCTGATTTTCTCCCTGGAAAAGCAAGTTACAGAGCAGATTACGCCCTGATAAATTCAAGTCTCCAGCATATCCTCTCCTCCTGATTTATTAGATCCAATTAGGTTGCTGTGTAGTTGTCATCAGCCTCCTTTTGCATCCCCCTTCAGTGTCTGGGGGTCTGGCCTGCCTGGTTTCTCACCCTGGCTCTGTCTCTCTTCCAGTATTCCCCCAGCATGACGATGAGTGTGTGATTTCCCTCCCCCTCCTCCTCTCCAGGATCAAGAGAGTCAGCTGCCGTTCAGAGGATCTCAACGAATTATGCAAGAAGAAGAAGAAGAAGAAGCTAGGTGTATGGGCAGGGAGACGCGTGGCGGGGGCCAAAACCCCAGGTTTAGTTTCATGCAATAAAAAGGCTGAACTTTTTATTCCATAAAACATGAAGGACAAAACTTAAAATATTTCAAGACATGACAAGACCCTTCTTTGTGCAGAAGGGTTTATATATGTACATGACACTTCTTTTTGGAAACAAACGGAAGCCTCTAGCACCCAACTCCGATCTCTTTGCTTTGTTCTTTTAAATAAAGACAGAAACCGAACCTGTTGTATGTTTGTGCCGTGCGACACCAGGAAGCTAGTCTAGATATGAAATCTCATGTTGTCTCTGTTGTAGTCATTTTTTTAAATAAACTGGACAGTTTACAATGGTGGTTTTCGTTCAGAAGGCCTGTTTTTTTTTTTTTGTTTTGGGGGTTTTTTCCCTTCTATTTTTGGGGGTTTTTTGGTTCATTTGCAGCACAACGCTTCCTCCTCCAGTTAACAAGATCTGCTTTGGGGAAGAGACTCCACCACCTGGTTATAAACTTGTTAACGCAGGTGACCCCTTCTAGGATCACATCCTCGAATGAATCGTGATCTTGCTCTCTGTGACTGTGGCATGCACTGTGTTAGTCTTTCCCCCCCTCTCTGAGTACAAGAAGAAATCTCTGTCCTTCCTTTCCCCAGAGTCCTTCAGCTGGTTCACTGCAAAAATTGATTTTTTTAATTTTTTTTTTTTAAATCCACTGAAAGAAAGGGTTAATCTGACCTGGAACTTTGAAACTGTGATCTCCAGCTAACTTTGGGGTTTTTTGGGGGGGTTTATTTGCTTT